TGGGCACGGCTGTTCGAACAGTTTGTTAACCTCTGCAGAGGGGGTACACTTTACCCACACGACATTACTAACCCGGATCACCCAGCCCGTGGGGATCAGCCACGTCGGGAGACCTCCAAGCTTTCATGACAAGGCATTTCCAAAGCCGACACAGGTTTACCATATGCCGACGAGAGGGGTCCCAGACCAACAACAGGTTAGGTCCCAGACCATACTGTGCCAGGAAGCCCAGGGGGTCCTCTCCGACACCACCCTGGCGAATCCACATGTCTCTCGGCATCAAGGCTCCCCTGATAAGCTAGTTACTCAGCCAGGGGTGTCCCATTCCACCCATGTGGTCGTACTTGTCTTATGTTCGGATGAAATTCCAAGGAAACGGTCCTTAAGTGCAAGAGCGGGAAAACCGTACACCCGGTACGTTCCCCGATCCGCGGTTTTGGAAATTCATTTAGTTCGCAAGCACCGACCCAGGTGTCGGGTTTTCCAAGTCTTTTGTGAAACTCCAGTTTTACCCAAGTTGTTACTCAAAATTTTAAGTTTGAAGGCGTCCGTTGATACTCGCGCAGGGTGCACGAATATCGAGACGCAACTAGATGGTTACAAGGGGACATGGTATAGCAATTAACAATGGAAGGATCAAATGCAACAAGTTAGGTAGGTCTGCCAATCTGCCTTGCAGACGGGACAACAGATTAAGTGCGATCCTATCAATGCATAATATTTTGCAAGCAATATAATTAAATTTCAAATATAGGCTCAAGTTGTTCAAAGGTGGCTTGCCTTGCTCGAGATCTGGAGCTTGCTTCTCGAAATCCTCGCGCTGCGGATCTTCGGGCTCTGAAACTACACGCGAAACGGGACAACTCAACAAACGGCGAAAATAAAGCCCTATTAAGGACCTCTAAGCGTGCCATTAGATAGATCTCGAGATTTGAGGAATTTTGGAAGTTGAACGGAGTCAAACGGATTTACGGTTGGGAAGATATTGAATTTCTAAGATTATTGGATTTTTGGTCTAAAGGAAAAGGATTTAATTAAATCCTTTTTGAAAAAGAAAAAAGAAGAGAAAAGAAAAGAAAAGAAAAGAAAAGAGGGATGGGAATTAGACTTTTCCTCGGGCGGCTAGGGCGCGGCCCGAGATAGATGGGGCGGTCCGACCGAGCTAAATGGGCCGGCCGGCCCAAGACGGCCCAAGCGCGCGCGCGCGGGAGGGGAGGAGAGAGAGGGCCGGTGAACTGGGCTCACCACGCGCGGTCCCGGGTGGGACCCGCTGGTCAGCGGCTCGGCTCACCGTGCGGAGGGAGCACGCGGCGCGGCGCTAGGGTGGGGGAGGGACGCGGTGCACGCGCGCGGTTTGCGGTGGACGCGGATGCGGCGGGCCCACGCGCGGTGAATTGCGGCGGCGGCATCCGGCGGCGGAAGAAGGGGGAAACGGCGACGAGGTCACGAGGGGCCGATTCCCGGCGGCGAGAGCATCTACGCGGCCACGAGAATCCGATGCTAGCATCGGATTTGGCGGGGCTACGCTGAGCGAGGCCGGCGACGAGCGGCGCTTCCGAGCTTGGGCGGCGACGGCGGCGAGCACCCGGCGAGCGGCGGCAACGGCCGAGGCGGCGCCGGCTAGCTACGGGGAGGCTACTCGTGCTACTACCGAAAACTAAGGGGGGAGAGGTGGAGCGAGGAGGAAGAACGGAGGGAGCACTACCGCGATGAGGAGGGGCGCTGTGACGAGAGGCCGACAGCGCGGGAGTAATCTCTCCGGCCTCGGGCCGGGGAAGAGGAAGAAGAGGGCGCGCCCGGAGTCCTCTTCCGCGTCCTTGCTCATGCCGGCTCCTCCGACACGCGCAACGACGAACGGCGACGGCGAACAGAGCACGGGGGCGGCGGCAATGGCGTGGAGGCGAATGGGAGAGGAAGGGAAAGGGGGAGGCTTGGGTTTATAGGATGGCAATGTCGGTTTGGGAACCGACTTAGGGCGGTCAAGGCGTGAGCTGGCGCTCCGGCTAGCGGCCAAAACGGCGACAGAGGTGATGCCGGCGAGAGGGAAAAAGGGGAAAAGAGGGAGAGAAAAGGGGAGCTCGCCCCTTGCCTCTTTAGGAAAAGGAGGAGGGGAGCGGGGCGTCGCGGCAGAAGGAGGAGGGGCTCTGCCTCCGTCCCTTGGCGGCTTGCGCGCGGAGGGGCGGGGCCGAGGCGATGACGACGGCGAGACGGTTTGGAGCGGAGCGGCGACACGGGCAACAGGCGCGGGCTGGCGCGGCAGAGGGTGACGGCGGCGGCGACCAGGCGGTCGGCCACCACGGCACGCGCGCGCGGGTTGCAACGGGAGGCGCGGCGGATTTGAGCTGCGCGGCTCGGGCACGCGCGCTGGCTGCGGGGCCGAGCGGCTGCAGGCGCGGCAGGGCAGCGGGGCCGGGCGACGCGGACGGCGTAGACGCGACGCGGGCGACGACCACGCGGGCGCGCGCGCGAACAACGCGCGGGGAGCGGCAGCGAGGGAGCGGAGAGGGAGCGGAGAGGGAGGACTCGGCTCGGCGCGGGCGGCTCATGCGCACGCGCGCGGGCAGAGCGGAGGGGGAGGGACGCTCGGCGCGACGCTCGCGCACGCGCGCGCAGCGCGCGGGAGGAGCGGAGGGGGAGGAAGAGAGAGAGAGAGAGAGAGAGCGCCGGGAGGGAGGGGGAGATGGGCCGAGAGAAATTCAGCCCATCGACCCTGGGGAGGCAAAATAGACTTTTGCGGAGGGATTTGATTTGGAAGGATTTGGATTCGGAATTGAACTCGACGATAGATCGGGGATTTGAGATCTGAGATGGCACGGACACTAGACAACAAGCAAAGAAACAAATTTCGCAATTAGGGTTTTTAAGAGATAATTTTCCCGCTAGGCGCCACGACGGAACGGGCGCTACAAAAAACTATCATAAGGACCGGTCTTATAGGTGTCGGTTCATTTAAAACCGATACCTGTGAGCATTTTCCCACCTCCGCACGATGAAAAAAGATAGAACCGGCACCTTTAAATACTATTGGTGTCGGTTATGTTAAAAAACCGACACATATACTTTTGGTGTTGGTTTTTATTTAGAGCCGACACCTATAATATAAGTATAGGTATAGGTGTCAGTTTTTTTTAATAGAACCGACTAGGTGTTAGTTTTTTTAATAGAACCAACACCTTTAAAGAAAACCGAGCCGACTTTTTTGACCACCCACAGCGCCATCCACGCGACATATGTATCTTATCCATCCATCCCACACTGCCACACAGTGCCATCTCTCTCTTCCTCTCTCTCTCCCCGCTCCTCTCCCATTGCGCCGCGACGGTAACAGAGTAGCGGCGGCGGCCGATGGAGAAGGATGGCGCGGCAGTCCTCCAGGGAGGCTCAGCGGTGGAGAATGCTGGCCGACGTGGGCGAGGAGGCAGTGCGGGGGAGGCGGAGGCCGGCGCCGAGGCTGGCGCGGCGAGGTGGCTGCGACGGCGGCGGTGGTGGAGGAGGCCTGGATCTCGCTGGCCTCCTCTCTCCCGGGGGACCTCGCCCCCTTCCCTTCTCCTCCTCTAGCATGGCGTGGCATGGCGACCGACGTGGCGAGGTAGTAGTGCGGTCGTTGGATCTCATCGACACCCTCTCTCCTGGGGGACCTCCCCCCCCTCCTCTAGCGCAGCGTTGGGTGGCGGCCGCCGGCGCGGAGGCAGGCATGGCTAGGTGGTGGCGTGGAGGCCGGGCGAAGTGGTGGTGGCGGCGGTGTAGAAGCCGGTGGCAGTGTAGGTGCCATTATTTTTTTATTTTTTTTAATAGTATAGGTTAATAGATTGGTGAAAACCGTTCCACCCTCTATACAATCCAAAACACTAGCGCCTCTCTCCCATTACTAATTACCGATGTAGGACTAAATCCAACATAAATAATAAATAATAGGTGATGAATAATAGTAATATGCATATTACTAGCTAGGGTACGTATAGGGTTTGCTCTGGTTAAGAGAAAACAACAAGTATAAATACTCCTTGCAATGCACGGCTAGCATCGTGTTCCCGCATTTGCATTGCCTTGGTCCGATGATAAATCAAGGCCAGCTCAAAGGTGGATGAAAGCATGCAGCAGAGCTGATGCGCTTTACTTCTTTAATTTCTGATACATGCGCAAGGCAGCAGGCGTTGTAATTAAAGGCTTAAAAGCATGCATGGCCATTGGCCCCTAAAACAAAGAGAACAGAACTGTAGCATTGTTTTCTATTTAAGCTAAGAATGTTATTTCTGTACTAGGTAAGCTTACTCATGGATTGCCTCATTCATCGATGAGAACATATTCTATTTTCTCGAGAGGATATCACCTCGCTTTTGCATGTTATATCGATAGTTAAAATAAATAAAATAGATTAATATGAGATATATTAGTCCACAAACATGTAAATTTAAATTTGATATTCACATGTTGTAATAAATATAACTAATTTAACTTTAACCAGTATATGTGTATGTGTGCTTACCAGTGTTTTAAATCGTCGGCTAAGACATGCATTTAGCATCTGTCTTCTCAAACAACTAACGGTGGATTAACTAGGGCTATATATAGCAATTAAATTGTACTTTGTCTGTCCAAAAGTGTAAGGCATATTTTCTTTTTCACCAAGACTAAGGAGAAAACAACCCATCCCACATGTAAAAAAATAAAAAGGGAGTATATGCATACATGTCACCAATGAGTATTAAGATAGCTGCTCGGGTTTTTGGTCAACAATTCAATTTAGCTTCGTAAAAACAAAAAGATAACACTACAATTTTAGTTTAAGATGCAATACGAGGACTAGAAATATGGCTTAGAATTTTTGGATGGAGGGAGTACATGAGGGTAAATATGCCTCAAATTTGCATAATTATGAAATAACATATCACATATTAATCTATGTTTACCATTTCTTTTAGTTATCGATCGATCAGCATCTCCAGCCTGGCCTTGCTGCCGTGCATGTATATATATGCAGGCATTGCAAGTGAGCTCTTCAATTAACTCCATCGCAACAGCATACAGCTACAGAAGTATGAGTGATACACATGGGACTGGCGCGCCGACGTCGTGCACGCCGAGCTCGCACGATTATACGAAGCCGGCGCTGGTGGTGGTGGTGGTGGTGATGGCCACCGTCTCCGGCGCCATGTCGGTGGTGGGCGTGGAGCGGCTGATCCGCGGCCGGTTCACGCTCTTCTCCATGGTGCGCTTCCTCCTCCGCTCCACCTTCGTCCTCATCCTCCCGCTCCTCTCCTCCATGTCGCGGGACACCGTGCACCGCCCCAGCGTCCTCTTCGTCCTCCTCTGGATGCTCCTCGTCGAGCTCATGCGCAAGAAGGTGTCGTCCATGGCGCGCTCGTCGGGCGCCGACGGCGGCGCCTTCTCCAGGGCCACCGGCGGCCGGTTCAGGCTCATGGGCCACTGCGACGAGGCCACCAAGCTCGCCTGGATCGGCTGGCTCATCTTCCAGAACACCTACTACTCCGACTCCAAGTGCGGCGACCACAAGGTGCTCGCCATGTTCGCCGTGCTCTGGTCCCTCGTCGTCGCCAAGCTTCTGCAGAGGGTGTTCAACGAGTGGAAGGCCCAGGAGTCGCTCACCGCCGCCGGCAACACTCACCTCATCGCCGGCTACATGCAGCTCGTCGTCGACAAGGAGGCGACCGCCGCCGCCGCCGCCGCCGCCGCCGCCGGCACCGCCTTGGCACGCTGCAAGTACGTGGTGATGGGTGAGGAGAAGCTCGTCGTGCACGCTGTAAAGAAGAAGAAGCACGATGTGGTCACCACCACCATCACCACCCCTCACTGCGGCTACGGCGTGGGGACGTATCCCCAACACCAGAGCGAGCAGAAGCACGTGAACCTCCTCGTCGACATGGCCAAGTGCGACGAGGTCGTCACCGTGCAGAAGATCAAGAGAAAGATAAAGCTGCCACGGTGGTGGTGCTGCTGCTGCTTCACCGTCACCGGCAGCCGGTTCACCGACTACATATACCAGCTGTGCTTCTCCTTCGCCCTCTTCAAGCTGCTCCGCCGCCGCTTCGAGCACTACCCGATGGTGGAGGCCGGGTCACAGACGTCGAGGCAGCTGCTGCTGGAGGAGCTCCTCGTCGGCGGGGCCAAGAAGACGTTCCGGGTGATGCGCCAGGAGCTCGACTTCCTCGACAGCTACTACGACGCCGGCTCACCCGTCGCCATGTCGTCGCCATGGCTGTTCATCGTCAACTACTTCTTCTCCCTCGTCTTCGTCTCCACCTACCTCGCCGCCATCATCGTCGTCCTCGTCGACGTCGAGTATAACATGGGCACGTTCAAAAGTCATCTCCCAAGCCCAGGGCTCTACATCGCCGTCTCCATCCTGCTCGTCGTCACCCTCGTCGCCGTCGAGTTCACGGATCTCCTCACCAACTACATCCTCTCCAACTGGTTCATGGTGCACCTCTTCTGCCTGCAAGCCGGCGACGGCGGCGGCCGGGTCTGGAGGTGGGTCTGCAAGCCGGCGATCTGGATGTTCATCGCCGGCCGCTTCCTGCTCTTCTACTCGTTCCAGTGCATGCTGCGGCTGAGTTGCAGGGGCGTCAATGTCGACAAGATCAAGCTCAAGCAGGTGTCCATCCTGCGGGTTTGCGAGCCGGTCCACAAGGTCTTGACGTGGTCGCCTCAGGTGAAGCTGGCCACGGAAGGCCAGACGGCCATCGTCAACTTCTTGGAGGACGTTGTCCGTGACAGTCTCAAAGACGATGGCAACGTGGCCATTGTCAGCATGCCCAAGGTAAGGTAACTAAGCCCATCGAGGGAGTCCATTTGATTTACAATGCATGATAATTGTTTGACGCCGTTGACTTTTTAAAACATATTTGATCGTTCGTTTTATTCAAAAAACTTTTATGAAATATGTAAAACTATATGTATACATAAAAGTATATTTAACAATAAATCAAATGATAGAAAAAGAATTAATAATTACTTAAATTATTTGAATAAGACGAACGGTCAAACATATTTAAAAAAGTCAACGACGTCAAACATTTTGGGATGGAGGGAGTATATATATATACTCTCGAGGATATCCCCTAACTCGTTGTTTGCATGTCACTCAAATATATAATTATGAAAAATATTTGTGAAGATGTATTAACATGTGACATCATTCCACAAACATGTGATTAGTTCAAATTCAACTTCTACATCTCGCAATAAGAAAAACAAATTAAACTATAGCTAGTTAACGTATATTCATAGTTAAATTTGTTTTTTTCGTTGTGAGATGTAGAAGATGAATTTGAACTTACTTGTTTGTGGAGTAATATATCACATGTTAATATATCTTCTTAATTTTTTTTCATAACCATTTGAGTGGCATGCAAACAACGATGTAATATCCCCTCGAGGAATTAATTAAAATCCACTCCCTATATATAGCACTTGTCGTTATTATTTATATATATATATATATATATATATATATATATATATATATATATATATATATATATATATATAGAGAGAGAGAGAGAGAGAGAGAAACTATTCTACACCCGGGGTATAGAATAGCCCCCCTCTCTCCCAAGGGCCAAATCTACCTCCCACCTCAGTCAAAGGTCGGTCAAAAGCATCCCACGTTAGTCAAACCGCGGTCAAACCACTTGCTAACTCCTCCCACCACCCACCTTTTCTCAGCTCTGTCTCGCGGAACGGTGCAGTAACGCGACGGTGAACGTGCAGTAACACTACGTCTTATGTGTAGTAACAACGCTCAAATATTGTTAAAATATAGTCATGATGGATCTACTTTTGATAAGCGTTTTTTTCCTAGCATCATGGTGCAAACGATTTTAAAAAATAGTACATCATGTGAGAGATATTGTTCTTCAAATCTTGGATTTTTTAGAATTTGACTCTCCACAAGTAGTAATGTTATAGCATTACTTGTTACTACTGTCAGTTGCACGTTACTATAATCCCATCGCATCATTACTGTAAGAGTGCAGCAAAAATTATAAGTTTTTGCAGTAACTGTGTTTTACTGTATTTTTTGGATAGTGTTACTGCATAAATATGTGGTAACGTGTACCTGCCTTTGCAATAACACTCCACTTTTGTGTAGTAACAAATATATTTAGCATGTGATACATTAACCCATATATCCTCCACATGCAGTAATACTATAGCATCATTGTGAAAACGGTTTTAAAAACAATACATATCTTGTGAGATATTGCTTTTCAAATATTGGCATTTGAACTTTAGCACTCCATATACAGTAATAGAATATGTAATTTGCAGTAACATGGGTATATACATGCAGTAACATGGTTTTACCAAATGTATAAAATTGTTCAAAACACTTATACATTAATCAGACCTCACTCAAAGCCATCTACAGACTTTACCTATAGCCCACCTATTCGATCTTCATCTCGTAAAACTGACATAGTAAAACTATGATTATCGTGCAGTAACATAACTACTTGGAAGTGGTAACATGCACCTATTATGTAGTAACACTTCTACTTTTGTGCAGTAACAAGTATATGGTTAGCATGTGAGGCTTTAACCCATATATTTTTGTTTCGATTCTTGGTCTACTACAATTTTACTATGATGTTACTGTCAAAAGTGCAGCAACGTCCTATGTGTTCTACAGTAACGTACAATAATATTACTACTGGAGCATAGTAACATGTTATAAGTTTCAGTAGTGAAAGATATTAGAATTGATAATCATATTACTTTCTCGCAAAATTCTTGAAACAAATAGCATTGTTAGATGAATTGGTTAGAATAATGTGCTTTGAACTATGAGGTCATGGGTTCAAGTCTTGAATTTGGCAATTTATTTTTTATTTTTCTAGAAAAGAGAAAAAATGTTTCAGGGAGAGAAAAAAACAGAAAAAAGAAAGAGAGAGAGATAGGGAGGAGGGAGGGGGAGGGGGGAGCGAGAGAGAGGGGGAACAGGAGGGAGGGCTATATAATAACTATTTTATATCCCGGGTGTAGAATAGTCTTACCTATATATATATATATATATATATATATATATATATATATATATATATATATATATATATATATATATATATATATTTGCTTTTAGACTCATATATACATGCAATAGATTTCAATATTGAACGAATATTGCCAAATTCATAATAAATTGAAAGAAATTAAAATTTTCATCCGAAATAATATCATATCTGGGGTCGGATAGAACCCGGAAATTTTGAACCCTGCGCGTGCTTTGACATTGTAAAAATCCTCTTCCAGTTAAGCGGCCTTCAACCTAAGAAAGGTGTTGATGACACTGCTACACAAGTCGTCCTGGCGTGTCACCTCGCCACGGAGCTCTTGGAGATGAAGCATGTCGTCATGGTGGACAAGGAGGCGAAGAAGGAGAAGAAGAAGATGAAGAGGGAGGATCGGAGAGCCCACGACCTGCACCGGGGCGTCGCGACGGCGCTGTCGCGGTACTGCATGTACCTGGTGGCGCGGTCGCCGGAGCTGCTGCCGGACAACGAGAGGTGGGTGGCCGACAGGTACGGCGACATGAGGGCCTTCCTCGACGAGGCGGCGTCGCGCCGCCGCCGCCGCTGCTGCTGCTGCCTGCGCCGCCGCCTCTGGAAGTGCGGGTGCTGGCGAACCTTCCTGATGGACGACATGGTGGTCGACGCCGCGGCGGACCCGGCGGCGCAGGCCGGCGTGGCGTTGTTCCGGAAGCTGCATGCGCGGACGACGACGACGGAGGGCGGCGCGGTGGTGGTCTCCGCGTGGAAGGAGCTCGCCGACTTCTGGGTCCGCATGGTCGTCTACCTCGCGCCGTCCAGCGACGTCGAGGGCCACGCCATGGCGCTCGCCGACAACGGCGGCGACCTCATCACCTACCTCTGGGCCTTCTGCACGCACGCCGGCATCATCCGCGACCCAAACCCAAGTGACAAGTCGCTGGTGTAGTAGGCATGCAGGCATCTGTGCCCTACTACTCATCATCTCTGCAGATCGATCGAATGTGCGCAGTGTCGATGATCATGACGTACGTACGCTACCAATGGTGTTGGTTTGATTGATTGATTTCTTTTTCTTTTTTGAAATTTCCTTCGCTTGTGTGTTTGCATGGTTTGGTGTGGTATATTGCAAGTTTAGTTCGTTGATTCATGGTATTGTATGATTTTCAGTTTGTTTTTAAACACATGTAAAGAAGATTGTATTGTGTGTGTACATGAACATCTATTTAATAAATTATATTTTGTGGTGTGACCAACAAGGGAATGACTCTCGGAAATAGTATATGTGGTCGTTACATGACTATTTTAAATTTTGGTCATACTCCATCTGTTTCAGGTTATAAGTCGTTTTGACTTTGGTCAAAGTAAAATTCTTCATGTTTGACCAAGTTTATAGAAAAAATAGTAATATTTTCAACAAACAAATTTATTATAAATATATATTCAATTATTGATTTAATGAAACTAATTTGCTATTATAAATATTAATATATCGTCTATAAACATAGTTAAACTTAAATTAGTTTGACTTTGACCAAAGTCTAAACGACTTATAACCTGAAACGGAGGGAGTAATACATACTACACATATATCGGTGCACTTTTGGTATAAATTCAGTGAGATTAGAGATTTGTTGTTTGCCTCTATCTTCGAGGTGGGTTAAGCCAGCACAGTATAATAAATGAGTATTTACAAACAACATCATCTTAATTTTACCCTCTTCCAACATATTCTAGTTAATTTTAAATATATGTTGTTAAATTTTAACATGACATTTTATCATTTAATTATCTCATTAAAAATTAATTAAAATATGTATAAATATAAGTTATACTTAGAGCGTTATTTATGTTAAACCAGTCATACCAAACAAAAAAAATAATACTTTTAAATAAGATGAACGGTTAAATATAATGTAATGTTTAAAACTAACAACATTATATATTTATTTAAAAATAGATGTAGTATTAATTTATCGTCATGGCCATTACCCTGAGCTCAAAAAACACGTGCATAAATGCACAGAAAATGAACTAGCTAGAATCAAATGAACTGTAGCTAGATCGATGATCATATCAACCCATACAAGAAAAGAAAAACAAAAGAGACGCGCTGCGTGTATAGTCAGAATAAATTGTTGGATCTGATCATGACATTGTTTTTCACGGCATTTATTTTTCCCCATGCTTGCAAGCAACTCAAAACCCAGCTTTTGCATGATAACCCCAAATTCCGTTGCAAAATCCTCCCAAAAAAAAATTCATGATCTGTCTCCTTTATTTTGCTTCAAACTTTTAGCTAAACTAATTTTATTCCCACAAGTCTACATTAATTGTTGAGCTGTGCATAATTAGTATTTAGTATATTACATCGCTAATTCCACAATTTAAGCCAAAAAAAAAAAGACAAACGCAAGAATGGCATCCAGCTGTTCCAACCGTCGTCTCCTCCTCCTCGATCCTCGCTGCCGCCGTCCTCCTCTCCGGCCTCGCCGCCGGCCGCCGCTGGGAGTGGGAGAGTCAGTGCCAGCCGGGGGAGGCCTTCCCGCACAACCCGCTCTCCGGCTGCCGCGGCTACGTGATCAGCCGCGCCTGCCCGGGCCACGGGCCGCGCCGCCCGGAGATGGCCAAGGCGCGGTGCTGCCGCGAGCTCGCCGCCGTCCAGCCGCGCTGCCGGTGCGAGGCGCTGCGGCTGTTCATGGACGGCGTGGGCGAGCTGCGCGGGTGCCCGAGGGAGGCGCAGAGGGCCGCCGCCGCCGCGCTCATGGCGGCGGGGGAGTGCGACCTGCGGGGTGGCTCCGGCGAGACGGCGGTGCTACTGGCCATGGCTCGTCGGCGACGGCGATGTGCCAGTGTACTGAGAAGAAGTGAAGCTTGTGATATTATATTATTTTCAAAAAAAAAATGTGGAGATTGTGATATGTAAGTTTTCGAATAAAGTGTTGCATCGGTGGATTGATCTGATATATTCAGATCGTCTCATTCAAATGCATTGCGAACTGAATTAATATTAAACGAATAATTGAATTAATATTAAACGAATAATACAGACTACTCATGATAAAAATTAAAAAAGTGATATTAATGTGTCCATTAATTTTTGCTCGCAAATCCCTACTTTTATGATACCTCAAATATACTCTCACAAGTCACCAGTTAATCCAAAATTCAGTTTCACAAGACTCCATTAAAGCAAAATTAAGGCACATAAATCCAACTTGAGTTTCAGAAGTCTACGTTAAGCAGAAAGCACGTGAAAACAAAGCAAGCTACACGATCACACCAAATTCTCTTCCAACAATTCTCGAAGTAATCAGTCATCACACGCACCAGCCATATTTCAGTTTCACAAGAATCAATTCAAGCAAAGAAAGCAAACAAAATCACTGTAAAATCATTTCTAAAATCACTTTATATACATAACTCATCCATCTTCAATAGCAAGAACTCCAATACTGCACTGCATAAGTTCAGAAAACTAGAGCAGATCGAGAATGGCATCCAAGAACCTCCTCCTCTCGGCCGCCGTGCTTCTGTCCGTGCTCGCCATCGCCGCGGCGGCGGCTACGGCCAGCGCGGCGACGACGTCCTGCCAGCCGGGCATGGCGATCCCGCACGACCCGCTCCGCGGCTGCCGCCGGTACGTGCTCCGGCGCGCGTGCGGCCTCGCCGCCGGCGGGCGGCTGTACGACTGGTCGCTGAAGGAGCGTTGCTGCCAGGAGCTCGCCGCCGTGCCGGCCTACTGCCGGTGCGCCGCGCTGGCCTACTTCATGGACGGCGCGTCCGAGGGCCGCCTCCTGGAGGACCTCCCCGGATGCCCGAGGGAGACGCAGAGGGGTCTCGCCGCCATGCTCACCACGCCCGGCGAGTGCAACCTCGAGACCATCCATGGCGGACCGTACTGCCTCGAGCTCACCGACAGGGAGATGCCCAAATATTGAATTGAAGTGATGGATTAATTAGTAGTGTGTTCACCGTGAATAAGTGTTGCTAATCGCATCAATCTATGGTCCATGGATCATCACATGAATGCATGCTTGAGTGCATCATCAGTGATGTGTGTTGAATAACAAGCATATATACAATGCTTTTTTTTCCCTTTTCTGACAGATTTGTTGGAAGATCCATTTTTTTAAAGAATGTTGGCAGGAGATGAGAAGTCAGAAGTGCATTTCATTCATAAGGGGGGAAGAGAGAATAGATAAGAAGCAGGCGTAACCCTGTGTTTACGTCCCAACCGTTGCCCACGCGTGGGCGGCTTGGGGCAAAACTCTTCCCCCAATCACCGCCCCCCTTTCCCCCTCTCCTCCACCTTAGAGCAAGTTCAATAGTATAGCCAACCGTTGGCTCCAAATCAACTATAGCTAATCTAATAGTTCATTTATACAATAGTTACCTATAAAAATACACTACATTAATACGCGGTCCTACCTCTCATACACTCATAACGTATTGAAGTACGTGTTGTAGCCGGCTACAAATATGTAGCCCACTTTCTTCTCTCTTCTCTTTTCTTCTCGATATATGATTATAGTTGGCTTATAGCCTGCTATTGTACCTGCTCTTACCGTCGCGGAAGAACCAGGCAAAAAACCGAGGTGGCGGTGGTGGGGCCATATCATGATGGCGCTATGTCTCTTGTGCGGGGGAGGCGGTGAGGCGCTCGGCCTCGGCAAGCTAGAGAGCTAGAGGTGGTGACGACACATGCTCCGATGGGGGAGGTGGCGGATCCGACACTGTCGTGACCGAATCCAGTGCACTCGTGGCCAGATCAGGTGCCTCCGTGTCCGATCCGGCTAGGGTCATGTTGATGGAAAACACGAGGCCTAGGAGATCTGCTTAACTCCAATGCAAGTCCAAAACTTGCCCTCGGATGTATGAGCGTGCCAGTTGATTTGATCCTGCAATCAACAAGAAATAAAGACAAAGAAACCGTGGTTAAATCTATAAATGATAGCCGATCGGCTAGGTGCCGATGACATATCATTTACCTCTGGGCCGATGTCATATATACATCGATTGGTAGTTATAAATGAATTTAAATGGAACTAAATCTACTCGATCGGCTGTAGACATTAACAATATATAATTCTTATGTTGATATATACTTAAATCAAGTGACTAGGATAGATCGGGCGCCATGCCGAGACAGTATAAATCACTTAGATCGAAATATATGTTAACAACAAAACTATATATGTTCATAGCATAGCCGATTAGATAGATCTAGCATGTATCGGCTAATACTCCGATTCAACTCTATATTAAGATATCAAAGCAAGTAAAAAATATATTAAACAAAAGCCTAATATACTTATATGTGACAAGATCTTAACATAAAGGGCGGATTTAACATGTTAATCAAGCGTATAGAAAAGAAGTAGTTAAATCAGATAAGATCGGCTGAAACTCCGATACTACCCTAATCGGCAACCAGAAGGCAAGCTAGAGATTGAGATTCTAAGCATGACTTAATAGATCAAACTCAATTGATGCAGCATTAAGTATGAAAAGAAGAAAAATATCAAGACAATCAAGCCACTGGATGTGACATAGAGTGGTAGATATCTTATATAATCTAAGCCAACATCGTTATTTAACCTAATTGGCTGCCATCTGTTAGCAGATGTTAGCTGATTATAGGTTAGATGATATTGCCAGAGATTATATAAGATATATGATAACTCGACGATTTACCTTGACAAGATTAGAGTATCATAAAGATGGAAGCACTAATCCCGAGAACACAAGCCGTCATAACAAGTTTTACCTCTTGCTGAAGATCGAAACCGATGCAGCTCAACCCGAAAGCAAGAACTCGTCGAAATAAAACTAAAGCAAAAGGGTGGCGATGCGCCGAAATTGTATTGAATGTGTGTGTTAATAATTACATAGGGCTCGGTGTCTATTTATACCCGAGAATTACAAGATATGTCCATATCGGACACGACTCTTATCTCTAACAAACTCTAAAATACCATAAGTCTTTGCGGCAAACTTTTGCCCATATTTATCTCTAAGGGAATTTCATAAAATATCCTAATTAATAGATACAATTACCTTCTTAGGACTCTATCCATGCGTGGCAATCATCTTGAAGCTTATCAACTCAAACCCGATGTCGTACACAAGCCGTATTGTCGGAATCGGCTGTATCACTTAACCTAGTTTGATTCGGACTTAGCCGATCCTAGTCGTAGCCGATCCGGACTCCAGCCGATTCTTACTCTGTTTCCGCGACAATCCTCATCTTCGTTTCCTCTTCGATCTAATCTCCATCTCCGATGCTGATATTACCAAATTTGGTCGTTAACACATGTCCCCCAAGTCCAGGATATTTGGTAATGTTCCGGATTTGCCGTGTATCGACTCCGAGTAAGTTTCGCACTCTGCCGTTTTCCGACTGTTATCCTTAGTGCTTTAAATACTAACCGTTGCCCTAGAGAAATCTCACACCGTGACTTCCGTTTTCACTGCTCAAGTGAAACTTTGTCCTCTCTCTCTCCGGCAATTCCTCCGACGCACAAGGCGATCCCCAGGCAACTTAATCTCCGGCCAGATTTCCACCCTCGGCGATGTCGTCCTCCGCCAGCCCGTCTGCTGCGCCATCAGCTGAGTATGCTGAGGTAAGTTCTCATCGGCTAGATTCCCTTTCTTAGCACCAGATCGATTTTCTCTCGTCTTACATTGCTCTCCTCTTCCCGGTTGCTTTGGATTTGTAGCATCTCTCCAACCTAGTTGCAATTCCCAGCCTGTCGCATGAAAACCACTACTTTCTTGGCCCAGTCGGCAACCCTAATCCCACAGAGTTCATTACTGGTGAAACCAATAGGATCCCTTTTAGATTGGTCAACCCAGATCTAAGTCACTAGAAAAACACTTTCAAATCCTGGCCATCCCTCGAGAAAACTCCACCCGAAAAAAGTTGGATCACATGGTTCAAGCGCATGTCGGCTAGTAAAAGAATTCATTGGGACGAGATTGGAATCGGCCAAGCACTTGACCTTACCATAGCCAACTCAGCTAAGGATGAACCCCTAATGGCAGCTGCCTCTTATTTTTGGTCCAACACCATCAACGCCTTTTTGTTCAACCAATGGCCGATGACCCCAACTCTCATAGATATCATCATGATCACGGGTCTGGATGTCACCTCATCGGCTAACCCTATGAACCTAAACACAAAGAACCAATACGACTTCAAGACCAAGAGCATAGGCGGCTGGTCAGTCTATGTAGCAGCATACATGGGCCAAGGTCCTGTTACCCCTCGAGAACACGTGGCTTTCTTGCTAATGTGGCTAGAGAAATTCCTCTTTTGTGGATCAAGCTGTGGCCCTACAACCAATTGGCAGTTTGTAGCTGAAGCCTTGGAAACAAAGAGACAATTTCCTTTAGGCAAAATCCTCCTCGGCTACTTGTACCACATGCTAAATAATGCATCGGCTAAGTTAGTTGTCGGCTCAGTAGTCGGAGCGGGTGGACCATGGTGACTACTGCAATCCTGGTTGAATTTGGTAGTCATGAAGTTTGTCAATCGGCCATCTGTAACAGAAGCTGAATTTCCAAGACTGGAGCCGATTGTAGACAGTGACGGAGAAGAACGCATCCATCGGAGATGCACATCCTATGGAGAATATGCCTCCACACCAACCGATGCAGGAGCAAAGCTATCGGCCAAGCTGCTCAAAGATTGGTTTTGTAGCTTTTATGAAGGATTCCAAAAAGAAGCCCGAGTCTGGTTCCTCTATGAAGATTCAACACTTCTAGAAAATCCTTTAGACTTCAGATTCGAAGACATCAACCATGATAGATATCAGAAACCCAGAGAAATTTTCTCAACTGCAATCAGCCCATGTATCCTTCCTGTCGGCATTCATCAAGGAAGAAACTTCCAAGTCTCCTATGAATTTTATCATCCAATGAGCTCTGCTAGGCAGTTTGGAATGGGCCAACTTCCAATCGGCTTATTCTTTGCCGATAAGATCCAATGCCGAGGGGAAATCTCATCAACCTTAATGATGGATCAGCTGCTTAATCTCCAAGGACCTCCTCTAGGCAGCATTGACAATATAGAGTTGGCAACCTTCAGGGGCAAAGCATTTGACAGATGGTGGGGCGAGTGGAAACTGCATGTATATGACAGACCTCTTTCCAGATGTTGTCCCTCAGGTATATCTCAACTCACTTAATTTCATTTGAATAGCTGCTTAGCCGATTAACCTTAACTATTTTTCCTTTTGATTTGCAGACAACAGAGTCCTCTCCTCCTCGCCAAAGCAACAGTGGAAGGGATATCAAATATGCCCCAGGATTAATTCCTAATGGAGGTGGGCCATCTCCACCCGTTATTGGCTATAATGCCCCCAAGACTTCAGCTCTTCTTCAAGGGCTTATCAGAGAACCAGCCGACGCTGGCAAGAAGAGGAAAACCAGATCATCGGCTGTAGATATTTTATCACCAGCTCCAAAGAAGAAGACCAAGACAAAGAAAGCAAAGCCAGCTGATGATCTGCCTGCCCTAGATCCATCCATTGAACAAGCTCTGGATGAAGAGGAAATCGAAGAAGATGTTGACCAAGCTGCAGCCGAAGTAAGCGACACAGAGAAAACACCATCGGCTTCACCCAAGCAAACCCCTCCGACTCCTTCTGCTCCAGTTCACTTTTCAAGAGTAAACAGCTCTTTCTGATCCCTTTTGTAATCATTTTACTTTATGGCCGAGTACTCATAAATTTTATAGTTGCAGAAAAAGAAAACTGCTGTGAAGAAGAAATCGGCTGCAATAACATCTAAACCAGTTCCACCAGTAAGATATTCTGAATTCTTTCACTAGTTGATTTCAACTGATTTTGTCTAACATTTATCTCTTCTTACAGCCACCTCCTCCTCCTTCTCCTCCTGTACAACAATCATTGAGTGACCAAACTCCATCGGCTGTAGGGAGTCACCATGTCAAGGGAGAAGTACAACTACTTGTTCCTGCTATCCTATTAAGTATCTTCTCAAACATCAAATCTTAGATCGGTTACATTTGTTTAACATCTAACCATCTTCAAATTTCTCTTTTGAAGGCTTTAGCCGATCTATTTTCATTTGATATCAAAGA